AAAACTCCATCTCAAAAAAAAAAAAAAGAAGCCGGGCATGGTGGCCAGCACCTGTAATCCCAGCTACTCGGGAGGCTGAGGCAGGAGAATCGCTTGAACCTGGGAGGTGGAGGTTGCAGTGAGCCGAGATCACGCCATTGCACTCCAGCCTGGGCAACAGAGCAAGACTCCATCTCAAAAAAAAAAAAAAAGAAAAAAACCACTTCACCTGCAATCCTTATGTCTGAGAATAATATGAAGGAACAGAAAAGCCTCAAGTGGGTTTGTGCCTGAGAAATCTGGTTTCACCCCTCCTCCCAAACAATAAAATGCTATCAAGACTTAAAAGGTTAAGGCAGGAGGATTGCTTGAGCCCAGGAGTTTGAGGCAAGCCAGGGCAATATAGCAAGATGCCCACGCTAAAAACAAAAATAAATGTCAAGACTTAATTTCCTATGAACTGCAGTTTTCTCATCTGAAAACTAATTCTATAATATAAACATCGTAGAAATTCATTTTCTAAACCATGCATGATTACAACAGAGTAGTTGTGGCTTTAAGAACATATTATACCATATATATGAGGTTTTCCTTAAAATTTAGCCCAGAACTATGGACACTTTGGTTATTAAAAAGTTCTATTTTAAAGAACTCTACTACACTAGCTCTTCTGAAATTTTGTTTTATCAGGGGCTGTGACGATCGGACCTACTGTCTTTTAAAAGAGTTTTATAGTTCTCTTACACTCAAAATGTTAGGGCAAAAAGCGTTCTTAAAGAACACTGAGTTGGGTTCAGTGGCTTACGCCTACAATCCCAGCACTTTGGGAGGCTAAAGTGGGAGGATCACTTGAGGCCAGGAGTTCCAGACCAGCCTGCCCAAAAAAAAATTTTAATTAGCTGGGCATGGTGGCACGCACCTGTGATCCCAGCTGAGGTGGGAGAAGACTGAGCCTGGGAGGTCAAGGCTGCAGTGAGTTGTGATAGCACCACTGCACTCCAGCCTGGGCGGCAGAGCAAGATCCTGTCTCAGAGGGAAAAAAAAAAAAACTGGTCCAACTCCTCTCATATCAGTTGCTGAATATGCAGCACTGAACGATAAGACTCTGCTAGGCTTATGTAGCCAGGACCCGAGATCTGTAGCATGCATTTTATGTAGATATATATTACATAGATATAATTTTGTATATTATATCTCATTATAAGCCATCTCGTTACGATGGCTGTAACGAGGTTTGGATAGAAATGAGTGTTGACTCCATGACAGTGAGTTCGTAGCCAGAAATGGATGTTGTGTTAGGCATGCTCCTAACTTGTCCCTACTGTTGTCATCACCAATCTGGGAAGACACTGCTAGTGTAAACCAAAGGCATCTGCTGAGGCAGGTCCACACACCACCTCAGGGAGCTCCCATTTCCGTGACACTGCACGGTGGTGTCCTGCCATTGCTCCTGGTGAAATGGTTGCAGCAGGTGACAGGGTCAACCTCTTCTATAAAATAGTTCTAGGGGCAATTGGAACCAAGATGACTTGTGTATCTTCCTGTAACATGCATGTAACAGTTGTTCCTTCTGTAACACCTCTCGTCTCAGGCGTTATTAGACAGCTAATTGTGGTCCTTTACATTAAAGCTTCCCTAGGAAACTAACAAAGTTACAAAGGTGAGTGCTAAATTTAATACTTGACCTCCGTTGCCATTTTAGGCCATACCCTAAAACTTACTTTGAATGTACTCGTAGCTGCCCATCAGGAAGAGGAACAGATACCGTAAATGTGTTTGTTTTGCTTCGGCAAATTTTTGACAGAGGGGAGGGGTGGCACTGCCTCTGTTGGAGTATGTTACAATCTGGCCTATCTGGAAGTTTTTCTATAAAAATCAAACTGGGATTCCAGGGTCACTACACTTAGCTTAGGTCCAATGGTCTAGAAATAACAGCTGATTCCATGTAGAGGGTATTTCATTCAGGCCAGGCCTAGTTCTAAGAGCTTTACTTAACTCATTTAACCTTTTTAATCCATTCTACAAATTAGGACGTTAAGGTACAGATCAAAGTTAATTTGCCCAAACTCACAGCAAGCAAATGGTAGAACTCCTAGTCAGATCCAGCAAGTCGGACTCCAACAGCCTGAGTTCTGGAAGCATTACGCCAGCTTTTCAAATGTCAGATTGAGACAACGTAGTAGGCTGTAAAATCAGTTAGGAGGTCTCAACTGGCCATTCTTTCTTTAGTATGTAGAATAAAATGAAAATAGTGTGCCTAACAGATAAATACTGTTTTGTGAACTTTTGGTTTAATATGTGTGTACACAAGCCTATTTATACGCTAGGTAACATGAAATTAATTCTTAAACTGTGATCAAAAAGGCTGATCCCATGCTGTGTTGACTCAGATCATCTGACTCCGCCTAGAACAAGACGGCAGGATCTGAATCTCAGGTATGAGCTTGGCAAAGCACCTAACCCATCTATAGCTCAACGTCTTCACCTATAAAGTGGAAATAGTAACATGAGGATTTGATAAACTTAAGTGCTAACAACAGTGCCTGACCCATAGTAAATTTTCACTATTATTTCCTGTAACTGTATATTGCCATCAATCAAATGTACTTAAAATCCTTCTGGGACTCCTCCCACGTATCTTCCCATATGCTATACAGCGGGTGGAGGTCCGTTCCTTTGAGAAGGCTTGGAACAATTCCCTGCATGGCCCACATGTGGAAAAGAAGATTCCAATATGGCCTCCTTATTCTTTAAACAGAAGAATGCTCTTTTTAGAGTTATCTTTTTAAGTCAAGCAACTGATTTCTAAGGAATGGGGCTAATGAGATTATCCTACTTGAGTTCACTGTTGTAGATTATATTATTTCCAAAAAAAACTTTATTGATATTGGGGAGTAAGCACGTCATGAGGGGTGGGGTGGGGATGAGTGGAAGACAAGAAAAAATGAAACCTAAAAAGTACAAAGAGATCGGGTCGTTTTCAAAGTAAAGACCTTAAACATGGCTTCATTAGCTCTGGCAGCTCACACACAGGTGAGTAAACACAAAACCGGGGAAGTGTCCCCAGCACCCCTTGCAACAGGGACAGACTGCTGAAGCTGTCAGCAGGGGAGGGTGCAACTGTTCCACTTGCTTCAGCTTTTCCTGCCACGGTGCCTGCTCTGTGACATCCAAAGAGAACCAAAGTGGGACTGGAAACCCAGCTACTAGGAAAGCGTATCATACCACACCCCAGCTTCAAAAGCCTGCCGGAGGCTGCTTGCTGCATTCAACCCAAAATCTAAACCTGTGACCCCGATCTGCTCACGAGAGCTCATCCCATCCTCTCACCAGCTGGAGGTGCCCTGGACTTTGTTCCTTAAACACAGGAGTGACTGTGGTCCCATGCGAGACCATGATTCCCGCTGTTCCTTACTCCCAGAACACTCTTCACCCTCGTACAACTGACTCCTACTTGTTCCATTTTCAGCTCAAACGCCTTCCCTGACCAGTCAGAAGTTCAAGTTGCCTTCTTCACCCATCTCTAGCACCTCACCCAGTGCCATTTCCTCCACAGCACTTAGTAAGTCTCACTTGGTTAGTGACTATCCATCTACCCTTTCTAAAATCTTAACTTCTCTGAGAACAGAACCTTTTCTTCTTTAGTGCCAGATTCTCAATGCCTGGGTAGTCAAAAACCTAAACTGTAAAAAAGGGAGTCCACGCATGGTGGCTCACACCTGTAATCTCAGCACTTTGGGAAGCCAAGGCAGGAAGATCACTTGAGGCCTCGAGTTCAAGCAACATAGACTCTCTGTCAACACACACACACATTAGCCACGTGTGGTGGCACACACTTGTAGTCCCAGCTACTGGGGAAGCTGAGGCAGATCACTTGGGCCCAGAGGTCTGAGGCTGCAGTGAGCTAGGATCGCACCACTCCACTCCAGCTGGGGCGACCGAGACAGACCCTGTCTCTACAAAATAGATATATAGATACAGATTTAGATCTGTGGGTAGAGGAGAATTCTGTCCAGTCTCAGAGAGTCGGAAAGTGCTTTGCAACAAATTTTAGAAAAAGTAAAAACTCCTGCTTCACCCTTGTCTCCCGTTCCTCTGGCCCTAAATACTCCTAGTTAGAAGTATGCCTTAAGAATTGCGCAATGGCCCCTCAACACAACTGCCCAGTCCACAGGAGCTACTTCATAAATCGACTGCATTGACCTCTAACCTCTGTCCACTCAGAGCAAGAATCCACTGCAATGGACAAAGGACAAGAGTTTTCACAGGAACTGCTGACACACAGCGAAGACACCAGCTGAGGCGGCAGCGGCACAGCGCTGCAGATAAGGGTGAGCTCTGGAGTCCTCACCTTGCTGCCTACCAGCGTGTGATACTAAGCAAGTAACTTCATCTCTGAGCCTTGCAGTCTTTATTGAGAAATGGAGCTAATGCCTATCTATGTCAATGGGGTGCCCAAGAGGATCAGCTGAAAGGCACTAAACCACTTAGCGCAGGAGGTGGAAAAAATAATAATCCATAACGGGTAGTTGCCATTATCAGAAAGATCCAGGCCAGGCGAGGTGGCTCACACTTGTAATCCCAGCACTTTGGGAGGCCGAGGCAGGTCAATCACCTGAGGTCAGGAGTTTGACACCAGCCTGACCAGTATGGTGAAACCCCATCTCTACTAAAAATACAAAAATTAGGCTGGGCGCGGTGGCTCACGCCTGTAGTCTCAGCACTTTGGGAGGCCGAGGCGGGCAGATCACTTGAGCTCAGGAGTTCAAGACCAGCCTGGCTAACTCGGTGAAACCCCATCTCTACTAAAAATACCAAAAAATTAGCCGGGCGTGGTGGCGGGCGCCTGTAGTCCCAGCTACTCAGGAGGCTGAGGCAGGAGAATGGAGTGAACCCAGGAGGTGGAGGCTGCAGTGAGCCGAGATCGCACCACTGAACTCCAGCGTGACAGAGTGAGACTTGTCCCCCGCCCCACTCCCACCACCCCACCTCCCCAAAAAGAAAGATCCATAACTCCATTCTCATTCTTGACCAAGCCACTTTAATTTTTAACTTTAAATATGAAGTCGATAATCCTCGAAATTCTCACCTGGCTCCTGCAGGAAAACAAAAGTAGAAAGTTTTAAGTACTTTTATATTCACTAATTCAAATCCATAATTCATTTATTCAATTATTCAAGTCTTTATTGAGCACTGATCATGTGACAGCCTTGTCGAGGAGAGAAGCAAAATCACCCTTCCTCGCTCAAGGGTTTACAGTTCAGTCATTAAAACAAACTTGTTGGCCAGGCACAGTGGCTCACGCCTGTAATCCCAACTCACTGGGAGGCTGAGGCAGGTGGATCACTTGAGTCCAGGAGTTTGAGATCAGCCTGGACAACATGGCGAAACCTCATCTCTACAAAATATGCACAAATTAGCCAAGAGTGGTAGTCCCAGCTACTGAGAAGGCTGAGGCGGGAGAATCACTTGAGCTCAGGAGGTTGAGGTTACAGTGAGCCATGATCACACCGCTGCACTCTAGCCTGGATGACAGAATGAGACCCCATCTCAAAATAAAATAAAAAAATTAAATAAAATAAAAATAAAATAAACTTTTAAAATAAATATAAGTAAAATAAAAGCATGTTAAATAAGAACATCTTAACCCCTAGGGGCTTATGGGGAAAGGGAAGCTTCTTAGTACCTCCCTTTTTAAAGAAAAACTCTTGACTTCCTGACCTGGAAAAAGAAAAAGCCATAACGCTTTACTGTTTAAAGAGTTAATTTTCATATAGTTCTATATAGTAATATTCCCATATGCTGGATCTATTTAAATGTTGAGAGCAGGACACTGTAGTTTTGCAGCTACATACTGTAGGCTCCATCTGTCTTGTTCACCACTGTAGGCCTGTGCTTGGCACAGAATTGGTCTTAATATATCTTTGATCAGTGGATAGATAAATGAAACCCTAAAATTATAACCTAACTTAGGAAAAAAAATTTTTTTTATTATACAATGGGCCAGGTGTGGTGGCACACGCCTGTAATCCCAGCACTTCGGGAGGCTGAGGCAAGAGAATCATCTGAGTCCAGGAGTTTGAGACCAGCCTGGGCAACATAGTGACACGCTGGTCTCTACGAAATAAAAAACGTAAATAAAATAAAACATACAATGAAAAGAAGAGACCAAAGCAAATGTGAAAACTTAAGACAGAAATCAGATACATGGCCAGGCACAGTGGCTCACACCTGTAATCCCAGCACTTTGGGAGTCTGAGGCGGGCAGATCACTTGAGGTCAGGAGTTCGAGACCAGCCTGGCCAACGTGGCAAAACCCCGTCTCTACTAAAAATACAAAAATTAGCTGGGTGTGGTGACATGTGCCTGTAATCCCAGCTAATCACTTGAACATGGAAGGCAGAGGTTGCAGTGAGCCAAGATCATGCCACTGCACTACAGCCTGGGCGACAGAGCAACTCTGTCTCCAAAAAAAAAAAAAGCAGATACAGGACTTGGTTAATTCAGCTTCATGCTGTTAGAATATGCAGTTTTTTCAAGTCCATCATAGGCATAAAGTAAAAACTAATGTTTATGAAAAAAGGTAAATATGACATAAAGAAATTTGGAGCACACCCACTTGTACAGAGTGAGTCTGAGTCTACATCTTCAGTCTTCATCATCAGGAGGGATACCTAGTTCTTCATCTGTCCACTGGAAAGGATCAGGATACGGAAAGTGACCCTGGTGACAACCATTTAAAAGAAAGAAAAGTCAAGAATTTACATTCTATGCAACTAATTAAATTGTTAAATAAATCTTGGAAAGAAAAAAAAATCAATATGGCTCAGCCCCTGACCACAGGAACAAATTCTACTTCAATTATTCGATGGCCCACCTGTTCTTTAGTTTATTCATTATATGGGCCCTGGCCTGAATTTTAAAAGCCTCCCCATTTGGAGGTACCAGCCTAAGCCAATGGTACGTGTTTGTGACGGAGGGAGGATGGGGGAAGTGGACGCAACAGGTTTCAAAGGTTCCTGACATCCTGGCAGTCCTGGCAAAATATGTTTCCACCTCTCCTAACATGACTGCTGTGAAATGGAGAAGCCTCAGGAGAAGCCTCAGGTGGGCTTCCTCATCTTCAATCCTGATCTAAGGGCTTATCTGGCTGCATCATCATCATCTCAGACCTCACAGCTACATACACTATACCCACTCTGGACAACTGACCGACAGTGAGGCAGGGGCACCTCAAATATTAAATGTGCTGCCAGTTCACAGACACCCAGGCAGCTCCTTACTGAAGGACAACGGCACAGAGAAGTTCTAAGAGAAATGGGATATGAAGACACCTGATGCTTCTAAAACGTACATACTGCTTAAGATTTTTTTCCTATCCTGGAAACAAACCCAAGTTTACTAAAATTCAAAGTATTCTGGATCAACAAGCACAGATTTCAATGTCTTAAAGGTGTAATTTCCTAAAGAACAATCTGCAAATGTGGTAAAACCTCAGTTGAGGCTAACAATATGTTAGAAAATCACTAAAACTAACTTCCCTTCTCAAGACAAATTCACTCATATCCATCCCACCCAAACCTGGCTGCCCTGCACCTCTGGACAGACTAGAAGACACTCGTCACTTAACGGAATGTAAGTGTGAAAGCTAACCTACCAATGAACCGCTAGTTCAGAAGCTAAAAGAATTCATTTCTGGCCGGGCGCGGTGGCTCACCCCTGTGATCCCAACACTTTGGGAGGCCGAGGCAGGTGGATCACTTGAGGTCAGGAGTTTTGAGAGCAGCCTGGCCAACATGGTGAAACCCTGTCTCTACTAATAACAAAAAAAAATTAGCCGGCGTGGTGGTGCACACCTGTAGTCCCAGCTACTCAAGGGACTGAGGTACCAGAGTCACTTGAACCCGGGAGGCAGAGGTTGCAGCGAGCCGAGATCGTGCCACTGCACTCCAGCCTGGTGACAGAGTGAAACTGTCTCAAAAAAAGTTAGCTTCTAGTCTCCCTAGGATGGCCACGTAACAGAAACCTTAAGAAACCGACCACCTAAATATACATCCTCGTGTAAAAAAAGGTGAGAAGATAACGTTTCATTAAATAACAGGATTCTCACATATACATATGGACAACGTGGTGGCAAAGGGCTATGTCCAGACAGAAAAATGGTCTACAACAGAAAAATACACCAGTTAAGCTATTAATACATCCTCCCTCCCCCTACCCAAAAAACGACAAGAGCGCTTCTCCTGCACTTACCAGCACGTCTTCTGAGTCATGCCAAAAGCGCCAGAGGATCCAGAACCACATGAATCCACTGTATAACTCGCCCTGGAACACCTGGGATCTGGTCAGCTGGGGGAACTGTCTATACCGGGGCTCGATGTGCACACCCCCACCGGCACTGCAAGACAAAACAAGGCTGACAGCGTGCCCGTTCTCAAAGCATTACGTCATCCCAGAACGCCTCCAGTGACATCCTGGAACCAAAGCTAATGTTTCTCCTCGGCATGAAATACACACAGTTCACAATCCCTTGAAATACTCATTTTTGGCCGGGGCGGGCTCACGCCTGTAATCCCAGCACTTTTGGGAGGCCGAGGCGGGCGGATCACAGGTCAGGAGTCGAGACCACAGTGGAACCCCGTCTCTACTAAAAATTCAAAAAATTAGCCGGCGCGGTTGTGGGCGCCTGTAGTCCCAGCTACTCGGAGGCTGAGGCAGGAGAATGGCGTGAACCCGGGAGGCGGAGCTTGCAGTGAGCCGAGATTGCGCCACTGCACTCCAGCCTGGGGCACAGAGCGAGACTCGTCTCAAAAAAAAAAAAAAAAAAAAAAGAAATACTCATTTTTTACTAAGCTTGCTTCATGTGTAGCAGCAAAAACTGACCAAAACTGACAAGAGGCTCATTTTGGTTTTCAATTAGTGAAGATTCTTATTTTGCACTAGAAATTTGAATGTGTTGATTCTGGGGTGCCAGCTCCAAAGGTTTTAGTTAAGAGACTGTGAAACTTGTTAGTAGGTACTAACTTACTCAGGAAAATAAAATTAATTTTGTTAGCCTATCTGGAGAGCAAATTATGTCCTCTGCCTATTACAAATTC